TAGAAAATATCAAAATATCATCTAGATAGATGACAACAAAATCGTCTAGATGCTCTCGAAAGATGTCATTCATCACGTGTTGAAAGACTGCTCGAGCATTAGTAACACCAAATGGCATGACATTGTATTCAAAATGGCCATACCTTGTTGGGAACGATGTCTTCCATTCATCTCCTTCCTTAATTCGCACAAGGTTGTAAGCTCCCCTTAGGTCAATCTTTGTAAAGATCCTTGCACGCCGAAGTTGTTCTAGAAGACCAGAGATCAAAGGCAGTGGGTAGCGATTCTTTTTTGTCACCTTGTTGAGACCTCGATAGTCCACGCACATCCATAGTGAGCTATCCTTCTTCTTCACAAATAAGATTGGTGCCCCAGCTGGTGACTTTGAATGACGGATGAAGTTCTTGGCTAGATTCTCATCAATGTACTTCCGCAACTCAGTCAACTCCGTCTGCGACAAATTGTAGATTGGTCCAAAAGGTGGTTGTGCTCCTTCTTACAATTCAATGGCACAATCATAGGGTCGATGCTCTGGCAGCATATCAACATTCTTCTTTTCAAAGACATCTTTGAATTCTTCATACTGCTTTGGAATAACCAAAGTCGGAGTTGCATCTTCTCGAGTCGGAGTTGCGAAGATGACAAGAGGTGTATTTTGCTTGGCTTCCTTCATGAAAGTCCTTGCACCTATAAACAAGGATTTGTTTCTAGACATTGTCTTAGCACATTCTACCTTCAAGGAGTTTGTTAGAAATGTCACTTTTCGCAACTTCCAATCTATCAATGGATTATATCTATCAAGCCAAGATAGTCCCAAAATGATATGAGATGAAGGGGTCTTGATAACATTAAACACAATATTGCTCTCATGGTTTTCAAGACGTACCTTCAATGGTTTAGTTTCATGGATAACATTGCCCGAAGACAATGGTCGTCCGTCTATGACTTCTACATGGACAGGCTTAAGTTTCTTTATAAGAGAAATATTGTGAAGCTTGGCAAACTCTTCATCTATAAAGCAAGCGGATGCACCCGAGTCTAATAAAGCATCGACTTGTAGTTCTTGAATACCTAGATGTAAAGGTACCATAAAACAATCTGAAGATTGAGCTGAGAGAAAGGGACCTTGATTAATTTTGGATGTTGAGATGTCCAGCCGCACGGTCCCTATTGTGGCTGGGCGTCCTTGTTTTCCTGCATGCTTGTACTCCTGAGTCTTGTTGTTTGAGGCTTCTGTTTCTTTCGACAATCTACAGCTTTATGGCCCGCTTCTCCACAATATAAACACAAGTTTTGTTCAAACCGTCACTTCTTTTCCTCAGCTGTGAGGGGTTTGAAACGTACCGCATCAATTTGCATGGATTCAGGATCTGTGGAGTGATTCTCTGGACCTTTTGAAAATGTAGCAAATGCTCCATCATTTCTCCAGCCTGATCGTCTTTCTTGTCGTAATTCAAAGAGGCGGTTGTTACAAATAATTGCCTGAGATATAAGTTCTTCTAAAGTATCCGCCTTAGGCATGGTGATCAATAAGTTCTTGACATCATCTCTCAGTCCATATCGAAATCGTGTCATGAACGCCTTATCATTCCAATCAAGATCACATGTAAGCTGTTGAAATTCTGCAGCATAGATTGCAGCAGAACGTGATCCTTGTCGCAGATTTTGTATCTTTCTTTCAGCCACTCTTTCTCCATCGCTATCTCCAAACGCAGCAGTAAGTCTCTCTATGAAAGCCTCTAGGTCGTACAATATTGGAGAATCCTTCTCCAATAGTGGAGCAAACCTAGAGCGAGCATTTCCTGATAGAAGAGTACCTATGAAAGCAACCTGGGTAAATCCATTCGGATAACGAGAAGGGTATAGGCGTAGGTAAAGCCGTACTTGTTGCACAAAACCTCGGAAGTTGGCTCTTGTTCCGTCAAACTTGTCTGGCATACTCGCTTTTGGTTCTTTCGTACTAATCCTTGAAGTATCTATAGGGGTCATATGTGACACATGTCTTGCTTCTCTCAGTCGAATAATCTCTTGTTGTAGGCTATGAATTTCGCGTCTAGCTTCTTCGATCACTAGATCAATTTGAGGTTCTTTACTTGGATTGCGAAGAAATGCAATCTCCTTTCGTACACTATTCATAAGAGCTTGAAGATCTGCAAGAGTTGCCACTCTATTGTCTACTTGTGGAGATGCACTGTCTATGACCTGGTCTACTTCCATATTTAGAAAATAGATGGATTAAGATTTTGAGAGAAGAAGAAATTGCTAAGTCTCTTGGAGAGAATTGTAGCAATACCTGTCACTAAAACCTACTCGGAGAAAAGGAAAAAAAAACACTAAACGATTTCAGTTTTAGAGGAGGGTAATCCGCAACCTCTAAAAATGCCTCAATGCTTTCGAGAAGAGGGGTAATCCGCACTCTATCAAGAAGGCAAAGCTCTGAAATCGATGTTAACAGTCTTTTCTACTAGCTATGCTAAACAAAAAGAAGGAATTATTATCAGTCTAAGAGAGGGTAATCCGCAACCCTTAGAACGCTCAAGTATCTCCAAGGAAAGGGGTAGTCCACTCTCTGCCTCAAAGAACTAAGCTCTGATATTGTGATTGAGAAAATATCAGTTTAGAGGAAGGTAATCCGCAACCCCTAAAGCGCTAGAATACCTTCAAGAAGAGGGGTAATCCGCTCTCAAACAAGAAGGATTCAGCTCTGATATTAAGATAAAGGTAGTCTCGACAAACTGTCACGGACACAAAATACAGACTTGAAATCTAACAAGAAGTTCAAGAAGAAGTGGCAGAACTAGATTAAACAGATGAGTACAAGAACAACACCAGAAAGGTGAGCTAGAACTCCAAGAGATGTGTTGTCGAGACTGAAGAACTCTTCAGCCTCAACTCCTATATATACTACTGGCCTATGGTTCTAAGGAAGCGCATCAAGAAGCTTCCCAAGAACTATGAAGCTTCTCGAGCAACTACCCAAGAGCTAGGAAGCTTCTCAAGTAACTTCCTAGAATCTACTAGAATATTCTAAGAATCTTCTAGAGCCTTCTAAAGGAATCTTTAGAGAATCTTCAAAGAATCTTTAGGAAATCTTTGAAGAATATTCTAAGAAAATATTCAAGGAATCTTCTGGAAGTTTCTAGAGACTTCTTTCTAGAAGGTTCTAGAAACTTATCTCTAGAAAGGTCTAAGGACTATGTCCCTAACACATATTCTAAAAATGCAATCAAAGATAATTTAATTGATTTATGATATGAAATAACTAAATTCATATGTATAGATAATTATATAAGTGTTTTTATTTAGTACATGTTAAAAATAACTTAATTTTAAATTATAAATCTGTAGATCATTTTTATGATTAAAATTAAAATTTAGAATTATTGATTATTCTTTATTAATATTTATCCCTTTTTTCTTTTTTTTTCTTTCTTTTTTTTTTTGCAATAAATACCTTTGTGCTTTATAATTTGAAATATTATAGTTGATAAATTGTTAAATTGAACTTGTGCAATTTTTAAATAAAAAAATTATAATATTATTATTACATTCATTACAGGGATAAAGGCCTTCATATTTCATGATTATGCAATTCAAAAGCAGATTTTTACATTTTATCCTTTTATCCTTAAATTTATTTTTTGATACACATATCAATATCTTATCTCACATGAATAGCCAATTATTAAAGTTGTTGTACATGGATGCACAGTAAAAGAAAAGACAATAGAAAATAAGTTTTCTTAAATACTATAAATAATGTCGTTTTTTTGATACAATAATATTATCCTTTACCTATAGTGCATTTTATTTTTGATTTGGTTTTTTATATAAATACAATAAAATAAAATAAACTATAGAGAAGATATTTTTGTAAAAAAAGATAATATTAAATATGGTTTTTTACTTCTTAATCAAGATTAATTCTTAATCCTTCACAATTTAAATTCTGTCCCATCAAAAATTCTTCAAAAGTCCAATATTTGACTTTGAAAATGTAAGAAATGTATGATATATATATTTTTTTATTATTAATAATATATCTATCTATATATATATATATATATATATATATGTGTATGCATTCTCAAATATGCATCATAAATGGTTTAAATATCCATTCTTATAGATTGAAGTATGTAACTAGGTTTTGTGTGAAAGTAAATTGAAGATAACAAAACACCTAATTATTGGTCAATTTTTTTTTGTTTATCTATTAAAAATGTTTGTCCTTATAAACGAAAATCTAATAAATAATTTCCTTGTTTACAAATGTACAAAGTGAGGACCTCAAATCCCCCATCATACTAACAATTACCCGAAAATCTGCATCTACGAAAATATCCTTCTTCATCCGAGTTTCATCCAACGACTCAAGGATGTGGAATAAGAATTAATCGCTTCTCTAACCACTCGCAGTAGGAAAACTGCTCTCCGATTCCACCAAATCCACCATACCCCAAGATTCCACCGAAGCCACAAATTCCCAAGATGAAACGTATTCTACTGCACTCGACATTCATACGACACGACACGTCACGCTACAACGCTTTCGCATATTCCACGTGGCGCAATGATGCAGTACTCCAGTTGGCAGCTCTACCACGTCATCCAACGTCTATTGCAAAAATTTAAAATGCCTCACCCAATTTCCACCGTGGCGCCACGACGATAACCCATCGAGCAGATCGATGGCTTCAAGCACGTCTCCCAATACCAATACCCCTTCACCGCGAACCGCGTCCACGTATGAAACCCTAAAGGCGTGGGATGATAATCGCCGTTAGATTGTGGAATGGACGGCCCAAGCGTCGTCTATCTCCTTGTGCAGGACGGCCTCCAGTGTTTACTGGTACATGCCTTGTCACTAAAGCTATGGGGCGTTTTGCTGCTGGATGGCATCGGCTCGAGCGCAGCAGCAGCGGCAGGAGGGCGCTCGGGGTCTCATGCGATTGACCTCAGGGAGTGACGAGGAATCTGCAGTTGCTGCCAAGGTGGGTTTCTCTCTAACCGCGAGTTATTTCGGCTCTTTTCGTGGTCGTTGGCTTTCGTAGCTTCGCACTTCAGCGTGGTTCTGGCTGTTGCGCCGTTGTGAACGTGGATGCGGGGAGGCAGCTGTTGTTTCGTCTTGGTTTTAGTCCAGCGTTATTGGGTTGATGGAGTGTTGGCTTTGTGCTGCCGGTGTTATGAGTGATCGATCGGCTAGCAGGTATAAGTGGTTGGCCAGATATAGTGGGGGTGGAATGAATCTTTTTGGTGCCCTTTTTTTGTTCACCGTGTGTTGATTTCTGTTCTTTAGTTGTCTTACGTTGTGTATCTGGTTTTTTTGTTTTTTCTTGGAGACGCAAATGACAATGTGATCGGTGCAGCGGTGCGATGCTTTCGTGGATTAAGTCTAATAAGTGGGATTGGTGCAGTATCTGTTTGGCGGAGTGAATTAGGGTTGGGGTTGTGGAGATCCTTAGTGTTGCACTTGGAGAGTAAGAGGAAGGAGATTGTTGGACGAAAATGAGTTTTTTAGATATAGAGGCCGGGGGTATGCCCCCCGGTCGCAGGCAACAAGATTCGACGCAAGCGCTCGCATCAGGCGTGTTTCAGATCAACACCGCTGTATCCTCATTCAAGCGTCTCGTTAGTTCGTTGGGCACTGCAAAGGACACTCCTGCCCTTCGTGACAAGCTGTAAGCATTTCTATTCTTCAATTTCTGACACCTGCACAACTGCATGTATGAGTTTTTCAAACATTGTGTTGTAATGTGCTAGATAAGTAAGTGGATTACGTTTCTCAGTGATCGAGTCACTCTTCTTAATTTGCATGTCATTCGATCCTGTCATGGAGGACATTCATATTTGGTCAACTTGATGATGGATTTTGGCAGTCGAACCCTCTGAAGTTATTTACAAGGGTTTGGGTTTGTCGTGATGTGTGATGAATCCTTCGACTATTGGTTTCAGCTTCTCTAACGAAGGCCTTCCACTTTTTATTTGCAAGATTACACAAAAAAGCTGTAGTGTCACTTGATCTATCAGGGAGATGTGCCAACGATCTCATAATCTTACTAAAATATTTGAGATTGTTGTAAAAGGATCAGTGGATCAGTGCCAACGATCTCATAATCTTACTAAAATATTTGAGATTGTTGTAAAAGGATCAGTGGATCAGTGCCATCGTTTCAAGACACCTATTGAACTTCTGCCTACCATTAACTTTACAACGTGTATGCTCTTGCAGGCACAAAACGCGGCAGCACATAGGACAATTGGCAAAAGAAACAGGCGCAAAGTTGAAAACGGCTAGTGAACATGATCACAATAGACCTGTTCATGTGAGCTCTTGTGACCTTTTTCCTCAAATTCTGGACGCTTTTTCAATGATCTAAGACAATACAGTCTATATTCGGGGCGAAGTTGTCTACATCTGATTTTGTCAGAATTGCTTGTTCTTTTGGAGCTTCCCATTATTTGTTGACTTCATTGACGATTTTCAAACTAGTGGATCTCGGCAGTTGTTCTTGTCTCGGTGGTAGATGTATGTTCTTTCGATATTTTGGGAAGTACAGTGATGCGACAGGGTAACTACCAAGTAGTGATCATCTTTAAAAGCACGACCGTAACTGGTGGTCTTCGCAATCGCTGTTTAAGTTAATGGACGGAAATTATACTACCAGCTTTCTTATGTAGATATTCGATCTGCATAACTTATAATTGAAGTACAGAACCCTCTTCTGCGCAGGGTAATAAGAAATTGAGCGATGCTAAACTCGCGAAAGACTTCCAGGCTGTGCTCGTAGAATTTCAAAATGCTCAGAAAATCGCTCAGGAACGAGAAAAATTATATGCACCATTTGTTCCTGAAGCTGCACTGCCAACAAGGTCTAGTCTTCCTTCCGTTTTCTTTGAGAGAAACTCCTACTTTTCTTTGATTTGGTATTGCCTAATTGTCATCAACGCATTAAGATTCCTGCAATGTAGCTGACCAGGTGGATGTCTCTCGACAATCTTAGTGCGGCTGGGTCACTATGTCGGAGTGGTTTACTTCGTGCTTTTCTTTTCATTCTGACATTAGAGTTTCATGTTCGTCATGAATTCTATTTTTAGCATATACTTCATTCAATATGTACTAGCAAGCTCTTTTGAGTTGGAAAGTTAGTGTTGGTCCCTCAAACATTCTACTTCTAGGAAATGTTTCGTTTCATGCACTCCGCTTTTCAGCTCATTTTAATATATATATATATATATACATATATATTTAAAAAATAAAGAGTATCGTAGTAAGCGCGACATGTATCGGTGTCTTGACCTTCATAATGCGTGTTTGATGGCTTTTTGAAGTCTCATGAGATGCATGTTTTTGTGCAGTCAATATTCAGGTGAGATGAAATCAGCGCCAGAAGAAAATCAAGATCAGAGAGCATTCTATGCTGCACAAAGATCGTAAGCGCTCGACTTGTACTCTTGAAGAGGCTTCTTTTGTGCTCTGTATTTTGTGTAAACCTGTCTTCATTAATATGTGCCGCGAATCTTTTTCATAGGGAAGGGTACATAATTGAAAGCAATCACTGATTTCAGCATATACTTGAGGATAAGATGACCCAAATATAAAAAAACCAAACCAATGAGCCTTCAATTGCGCATTAAGCAAGTAGAATAGAGCTTTGGATTGTCGTGAACGGCAGAGGGCATCCTCTTTTAGGGTATAATCCCTTCCTGCTGCTAGGGATCATTATTTTATCCAGTAGAAACTTAGTTCCCCTATTTCTATTGTTGTTGAAGTGTATAATTACAACCAATAGACTACTTATTTCCTGAAAAATAGAACGTGCTTGTATCACTGATTATGTTTTCAGTATCACCCTGCAGCCCTGTTAGATTCTTGGCTCTCCTGCACTACAACTGGGCAAAATTGTGACCTACTGCAGTTCGGGTTGGAGTCGAGCGTTTTCTATCTCGTACATGCGAGACGCAGAACACAATCATTCGAAGACCCTTCCCTGCAGTTGATATGGTTGATGAGTTAGTCATGGTTGTGCAGGCAAGACTTTATCCAATTAGAGAACGAAACAGTTTTCAACGAGGCAGTGATCGAAGAAAGAGAACAAGGCATCCGAGAAATACACCAACAAATAGGTGAAGTAAATGAAATCTTCAAAGATTTAGCTGTTCTCGTGCACGACCAAGGCTACATGATTGGTATGTAATTCATTCGACGTAGTCTATGTAATTTCCGTTATTGTATACTCTATTTCTTGTGAACAGATCTCAAAGGTATCCGTTCTCATTTTGATCTGAAAATAATTCGAATATCACATCAATGATGATTACCACTGTCTGTCTTTGGTGTAGAGGACATTGATGCCAACGTACAGGGTGCTGAAGCTGCGACTGAGCAAGCGAACCGTCAGCTTGCTAAAGCAGCCAAGAGCCAAAAGTCTGGAACAACAATGGTAATTAATTGTACTCTTTAGATGATGTTATCATGTTTTTTGAAAAAATTACCCTGGTCACTCTCGTCACCCATTATCCACATTTCTGTCTTGCTTTGAATTCTTGTACTACTTGTTAATGCCAATGTTGACAGCCGTTTGAATATGTTTGTAACCGAGTTGATTATGTTAGCAACAGCAGTTCAAAAATATAAGTCTAACAACAGTTTATTTCCTTTTTCTTGAAAGTTACTGTACATTTTGGGGTGATAGTGAAGCCTCAATTGTCCTTGCTGGTTTTGATGTGTTCGTTGGCATTTGTGGTTCGACTAATTTTAATTTTTAAATTCTATCGTTGGTGTTTTTTGCAGACTTGTTTGATTTTGGTAATTGTCGCAATGGCAGTTCTCGTGTTGCTTCTCTTCTTGACTCGATGATAATGTTCTCCTGATTTTGGCTTACGTTTGGGGGCATCTCCGCAGATGCACTGTTGTATCTTCACTGCCTTAGTTAAGCATATTCGGTCTAAATAATGTCAGAAACCGATAAACCATGTATTTTTATCTCTTATTCCGAGGGTATTGCAATCCAAGTTAACTCTCCCTTGCGATGTTGCAACTATACGTCTATCAATCTTGTGCAACTTCTTCCTCTTTCGTTAGTCTACATGCAGGTTGTGTGATTGTGTAAGCTATTTCACATGAGGGGCAATGCCTCACCCGGTGCTATAGCCTGACAACACATAAGGTCTCATCATATGAGTGGACGTCACCGTAAATGGTGGATTTCATTCTTATACAAAGTTAGCAACTTTGTTTTTCAAATTTGGAAGCAATGAAGATTTGTTTCGAATTCTACTGTGATGATAACTTCGCAAACAAGAGAGAGGCATGCAAAGGTGATAACTAAAACTTGGAGAATTTCAAGTGTATACTATCCAATCTATTCATTGTTTCTTTCTTTTTCCTTCAAATCTTCAATAATACATCCCCTTTTAATGTGAGTTAACAATTATGGTTCTGTGAAATGCCTAAATTCAATTAATTAATTTTTTCAAATCTTCTAAAGATTTGAATGTTTTGTAGTTATTCGAATAAATCAAGTAAATTATGTAACAATACTAAAATAGTTGTCTATGGAGACATGTCTAATTTAGAGCAGTACCAGTATAAATTTTATGTAAAAAAAACCTGAAATATGATATTCTATAGAAGTGGAATTTTTTGTATTGCAAAAGCAAATTTTAAATGACAAATATCATTAGAAATATTGAAGGAAAGAGATTTTTTTCAGCTTCACCAATTTTGTAGCAAAGTAATATCCATAAAAAGGTACTTCTATAAAATCCTATGAATTTACTAAAATATATCGTAGAATTTATTTTCTTTTGTAGGTCATAAGTCCTCCATACATCTTGGAATAATTGTGTGCCATAAAGAATTTATTGGGATATATTAAATCCTACACAAGGTTTTTAAGGATCATGGCAAGTTAATAATGTCTAGAGAGATCTTAATATTTTGAAGCCTGCTTTAAAAGGTCATGGTTAAAATCCTCACCAAGGTTCCTTGCATGGTGAGGAAAAGTCTGTCTTTAGAAGCCTTGGCTTGTATATATAGAATGAAGGGAAAAGAGGCCATAAAGTAAATTAACTAAAGAACAAAGTTGTTTAATTATGTTCTTCAGTTAATATATTTAAGAAACTATGGCCTCTTTTCACTCCATTAATATATTGAAGAAACTTATTATATTAACTAAAGAAAAAAGTTGTTGTACTTGATAATTCACAATGTTATATAATATCTGGATGAAAGACCAATGCTATCCTTTTATCTTCTCAACATCTTTCTTGTACTTTAGTCTTGCTTTAAGACTTTTTAGATTCTTTATATTTAATAATAGCTTACTTTCTACTACTTTAATTTTTGAAATAATTATTTATAATCTAAAGTTTTAGAATATATATATATATATATATATTAAAAAATCTAAATTTAAGTTTCTTATATATATTATTTATAGAATCTTGTAAAATATCCTAAACAAAATCTTAAAACAGTTTTAAAATAATTTAAAATTATAATTTTGAAGAAAATTTTAAAATGAGTTTCAAATGTAATTTTGAATATTTTTTTAAAAAACTATAAAGTCTTTTGAATTAAAAGTGAAAAAACACTCATACATGATATGTTTATTTTAATTGGACCAAGATAAATATTAAAAAATAATAATTTTGAAGTCCATTTCAGTGTATAATAATATCATCCTTGTTCAACCTTGTTCAAATTCGTTTTTGATTCTAAACAAAATGTTTTAGATTTTAAGTCAAGTATTTATTACAAGAAAAAAAGAGTTAAAAGACATTATCTGCAACACTAGAAGGTGTATATAGATTGTATAATTTTGTTCATATATTTCCAGATTTAAAAAATGACTGCAGCATGAAGCAAAACAGAATGATTCAAATTAATTTCTGCAATTCGTTAAGAATTAAACAAAAATGCTGCCCAACATTCTATTTCATTGCGATGTAATTTAAAGCGAAGATATCATTATTGTGCACACTGATCAGAGCAATAGAAGTGGATCGTGCAGATTCTTGAGGGAATTTCTGTTGCAGTTGCAGTGCATCACATGCCGTGCCGGCTCTTCGGTCCTTGGACTACACTATAAGACGATGATCATGGTCTGCACTGGAGGTTTCTTTCTGTTGCTCATTGTGTATATGTTGGAAGGCTATGAAGTTAGTTCACTCCTGCGAGATTCAGAAATGGGGTGAAGACAATCCATGACGTGCCCACAAACTCTGCTAGAAACAACCCTCAACCTATGCTAAAGGCAAGAGATTGCGAGACTTTGTTTATTATTTCTGCACAACTGAATAAGGTTCGGTTTTTGCTTCCTTTACTGGTCTCTGTCCCTTGATGAAAGTTGATTCATCATAGATCTGCATGATTTTGTCTTCAAGATGCACGAAACTTGTGGCTCAACCTTGTGAATCGCAACGTTGGATTCAGAGGAGGTGCATGCGATGGCAAGCAGAAAAATCTTTAAACTGATAAAGCTGAAGCTGCTCTGGGCACTCGTGGCAACTCCCACAGTGATAGCGTTGGAACGCAAGTGCTGCGTGGTTTTATCTTTTTAACCTTTGCCCATCACCTTCGATGACCTCCAGTAATACATCGACATGCCTGCTGTAAGTCTTCATGCTTGAGTCTAGTTCCTTTCAAACCACACCTCACTTTGTGGTCATGTTCACAAAGCCGATGGATGCAATGAAAGTGCCGTGAATCGCACAGTGGTGTGTACGATCCATCAACCTAGCATCGGCACCATTGAAAACATTTGATGAGGTACTCCAACCATCGTCCTCAAAAGATTTAGGGTTAGACACCAAATCAGGAGTTCTAAACTGTGGAAACGTTTCGACGAATTACTTTTGCCGTACCATTTAATGAACTAATCTTGCGAATCCTTGGAATTGTTCTTTGATGCCACGAGGTGGATAAGTCATTCTTAAGAGACCCTTGGAACCTCAATTTCTCAACCTGAGGTAGTCATCGAAACAATGCCGAAGCTGGTTGTAATGAGAGTGCTAAATTTTGTCCAAAAACACAAAGGTTACGAACTTTCCTAGATTTTATGAAGAACTATGTGAAACTCTTCCTCTTGTAAGCCGTTTTTGACATAAAATACTAAAAAATTGTGTATGGCTTTAAAATGTAGTGGAAGGTCTACTTGCAACCTTTGCACAATCTTGAAGACTTTCTCTGCAGTTTATAAAACAAATATGGCACGCGCCAATGATTAAGGATCCTTGCTTGTCCTTGCTGGTCTATCTACGAGCATTTTATGATAACAAGCAACATCCTAATTGCTCCTGGTATGTTAAAATATCTTTATATTAGTCTTGAAAAACATTTGTGTCTTAAATTGCATAATTATTGAGTCAACCAGCTACAACTATCTGATGCTATTCATACAAGAAGGTTATTTATGCATATTAGCATTGCTGGGCTACATAACTAACAATATGTACACTTAAAAATAACATGTATTCTAGCTTGTCTGGTTACAAAATTTATATACCACCTGATTTGGAGACGTGCTTATGCTTATTTTATGAGATTTAATGAAAAAAGAGCCTTCAATGTGGAGTGAAAAATAAACAAAATGGTGTTTTATAACATGAAGACCTTGAAGAACAATAAATGTTTTACTTGAAATGCATAAAGGGGTTTTTACTTGTTACACAAAGAATCAATGACTTGCATGTTTGCATAACTTACTGGCAGAATAGTGTATAGCTATTACATATTATATTTTGAAAAAATGATTTAGAATGTATGGGCAATCATTGTTGAGGGTAGAAAGAAAATTTGCACCACTAATATTGTAGGTATGTCATTTTCACTTGGGCAGATTTTTTTTGCTTTTAAGATTAACAACATTATTTTTGTCAAATATTAATTATATAAATGAAAATAAATAATGGTATAAGAGTTCTGTCTTATAAAGGTAACAAATAAACCATATGATTGAATGATTGATTAATTGATCATATATATATTTTTAAATCTAATTATATTATACATGACTTTTTACATGCACAAAACTCAAACAATATAACTAACTTATCATACACTTTTATAACTTTGTCATTTTTACTATTTATGTATATATGTATAGTTTGTTGGTTTTTGAATTTGTTGTAATGGCAATTATGAAAGGCCAATTTTTATTTTTATTTTTGCAGTAATAGATAAATCTTTCATTCATACACATTTGTGTGTAAATTAAGCAACAATAATTTACTAAAAAATGTATTTAAAAATAATTACATTCATATATAGTATACATTTGTTGTATGACTGTATATATTTAAATATACATATATATAATTTTCTTTAAAATAACATATCACTTAGTATTTAAGATTATTATAGTTGCAATAGAATTGGTGGTTAATATAAGATTTTCCAAATTAAAACTTTGAATGACTCAAAGGACATATGATGCATAGTGTGCACCATTTAATAAAGTTTTTTTTTTTTTTTTTTTTTTTTTTTGCACCTTCTAATATTTTGGGTATGCACTACAAAAAATTGAAAACCCATTGTAACTTGTTGCATAGTCATGACTTATTGGAATCTAAATCAAGTCATTTTCATTAGGCAAAATATATGTGTAAGCTACTGTTAATGCCACCACATTTTTTGCTATTGCCACCACCACCCACTTGACATATTTTTTTTAATTCTCTTTCTTCTAGTAAAAAATATGTTTAATATGTTTTTTTTATTCAAAATGATAATAAAATTAAGTTAATCTTAATAAAAAAAAAACTAAAAAGTTAATAAGAATAAGTTTCTTTGTACTGAAATTTTTAGTTTAAAAAAAAAACATATTCTTATTTAAAAAAATATTTTATAACACACACACACACACACACACATATATATATATATATATATATATATATATTTAATTTTATATTTAACATATGCAAAGGATATAAGTGACACGAAATGGATGACAGCAGCAAAAACTGCATTGGAGTTAGCCATACTATATATATAGTATATATACCTCCCTAATCGCTTTATTGCACTGAGACCCACTTGGACGACAAAGTGCATCACCGAATGAACGTCTTTCGTTACAAATTCCACACAAAAGCACATCCACGACGCTCCAGCGGAAGTCATTCGTTGCCCACTTCTCGTCACCGTCAACGAACGATAAAATCCTTCGTCGTAGACTGGAGCCAAAAATCGTCAGCAAAACCCTACAAAGGAAGGAAGGAAGGGACGAAGACGGAGGAGAAGATAAGCTAAAGCCCTGCTGCGATGCTTTTTCCTCAGGGGAAGAGGAGGAGAAGAATGCCGGCAATGCAATCGGACATGGCCTCACCAATGCCACTAATCTTGCGCCACTCCTCCTATTCCTCCGCTGCCGCTGCCTTGCGTTCCTCCACCTTGTAGACACACCTCAATCCTTGCCTTTGGAAACTAATTTTGTCGCCACCCAACTTGTGGGAACCTCGCAACCATTCGGCGATGGCAATGGCGACGCACAATGTAGCAGCGCTGTGCCGCACAAGGGTTCCGTTGCTTGCAGCAGCATCCGTGGTTACCCACCACGGTGTTTTCTTCACCAGTCGCAGCATTAGAATCGTGCCCATTTCCAGTTTCACTGTGGGGTTGGGCGGGTTTTCTTCGGCTTATTCGAGCTTGGTGGGGCAGAGGTTGTTGTCGTTCCAGCAGACGCGACCATTTTCCTGTGGTAGAGTGAGCATGGCGCTGAAGAGTGGCATTGTCGGTCTTCCCAACGTGGGAAAGTCCACGTTGTTTAACGCTCTTGTAAGGATCCCTGATTCTGGAATTTGCATTTGTTTCAATGCTCTAGTTGAACGACCTAATTGGTTATGAAGAGGCAATTTAGAAATTATTTGAGGGTGTTTGAAATTTAGGGGGCTTCTGAGCGTTGTGGAGTTTTTTTGCAGAACCACCTGCGCCTCATTTCATTTTTTAATCAGTATTTTGACAATTGGGAACAAACCTCATAAACGTTGATGAATTTCAATTATGAGTTGTCATTCGAGTTTAAGCAGTTCAGTTTGATGATCGTACTTCGAGATCCGACAAGTAATTTACAAATTGGAGCCTCTTTTGTACTCGTTACGTCACGCTTCTTTTAGGTTATGCCTGGAAAGGTATCGACTTATGAAAATTGAAAATGTTGAGTCAGGTGGAGAACGGTAAAGCCCAAGCAGCGAATTTCCCCTTTTGCACGATAGAGCCCAATGTTGGTGTGGTAGCTGTGCCTGACCCGCGGTTGGGTGTGCTTTCTCAACTTAGCAAGTCTCAGAAGACTGTGCCCACGTCTGTTGAGTTCGTGGATATTGCTGGCCTTGTCAAGGGCGCCAGCCAGGGGGAGGTATGGTTCTGCTACATTGTGTTCCGAAGATCTTATGTGCTCTGTGTTTTGATCTGGTAGCATGGCTACTGTTGTGCCATTGAACAGCTAACGGTAACTAATTGAGTGTGACAATAATTGTTTGAGTGGTAATTGGCCATTAAGTGAGCCAGTTTGAATTTTGAGAAGTTTTATTGGAAGCTTTGAGTCTGTTTATCACTGAATACTCGTTTGAAACACTCGAGTCCTACTATGTGCAGGATATTAGAGCTCTTACAAAACTGTAGGACGTCTACTTTCAGTTCATATTTCAATGTGCAATGAAGATTCGTTATATCGAATTGCTGTAAAATTACATGTAATAGGCACACTTCGAAGATCTAAATGAATAACGGTAGTTTCTCTCAAAGATATCTCATAAAACTATTTCTACTGCTAAAACAATACTTGTTTGCTGCGTTGTGCTGGTCAGTACTGGAACGATGGTTAGATTGTTTGACTCAGTTTCTGTAGTTCTAATTGTTATGGGTGATTTGGAACTCAGTTTGTGTCCTTCCAAGTCTACACAGTAATTAAATGTACTATTTGATACTATTTCCTTGATGGTGCTCTGACGATGTGCACGGATCATGCAGGGTCTCGGGAACAAGTTTCTGTCGCATATTCGTGAAGTTGACTGTATTGTCCAGGTGAAGAACTAGTGCATCCGTAACCTTGGTCTATATCATGTCTTTGTGATGTCCTTTTATTAGTTTATTTATTTAGTTAGTTATTTATTATTTTACTTTTAACCTGATTGAATTATGTATAAGAAGCTTCATTCCTAGAAGTTAAAGTGTTTGAAAATGTGGGAACGAAGGTAGTTCGGTGCTTCGAGGATGATGACATTGTACACGTCAACGGGAAAGTGGACCCTGAGGTGGATATTGACATCATCAACCTAGAATTGGCATTTGCAGATATGTCCCAGGTGAATATGCATCTCAACAAAATTGATTGTAGTTCTTCACAGTTGCTTGCCAGTTTGACCTGATATGCTTGCAATGAACTTTAGCCGTATGGACTCACGTTGAGATCGTGTTGAAAGTTTTGGTTGTCCAGCGAGTCACATTGTGTCTTTGGTCTTGTTTAGCTTTGCAATGAATCATTATGGTGCATTTACTTCTCACCAGCTGATGTCAAATAATGTATAGCAGTTTCAACTCATTTGTGATATGTCTGTTGAGAAATCTCCTAATCCCCCCCCCCTCTTTTCTTTTTTCTTTTTTATTATCTTTTAAAAGTATATTTAAAACACAAGACTTTTAGAATGTTTCGAAATACTTTACTTGAAATACTTTACTTCCCTTCTTATCCTTTTAGTTCCTCTGTTTAGCTTGAGGTCATATAATGTCCTGTACTCAAATCGTAAAATTTTAAAAATTTTCAGATTGAGAAGAGGTTGGAGAGGCTCAAGAAAGGAAGGGCGAAGGACCCTCAGGTCAAAGCGAAGGTAAAAATTCTTCTTTAAATAACTTAATGCTGGCTATATCAGATCTTTCAAATCTACTTGCAAAGGCCATTTTCGGAAATATCTCTTTGTGTTAAGTTGGATCTGAAGTGCGCTGTGTGTCGTGAGGAATATCATCACTAAATTTATCATTTTGCTGTTGCCACCTCTTTTGTATTTCTGTTGAGTCAAAAAATGGTTGACTTGGGAACGATGTTCTTGAACAGGAAGAAATAGAGATAGAAGCTCTGAAAAGAATCAACGAGGCGCTGTTGAACGGGAAGCCAGCAAGGATGGTACCTTTATCAGAGGAGGAAAACAAAGCTGTGTTACAACTTTGTTTACTAACTATGAAGCCTGTGATTTTTGCTGCCAACGTGTCAGAGGCAGACCTTGCGGATGCATCAGGAAACCCTCATGTTGATAAGGTTAAGAAGTGTGCTGCTGATCTTAATGCAGAGGTTGTGGTGGTATCAGCTCAGGTGCACTCCAGAGTCTTTACCATTTGGAATTACGTTTCACGTTGTAACATTTCAATTATATGTGGATCCTTGCACACTAGTATCTTTGTGGTGTTTTGGGGACATCGTCCGGATGCTATGCTTGAATTCCATGGTCCTAGCCATCAGTATTTTCCAGTCAATAACATTTACTATGTGATACTAAAAGAAAGACTGCTCGGTGCAGGTAGAGGCGGAACTGACAGAACTTGACGCAGAAGAGAGGACAGACTATTTGCAGTCAATTGGCGTCACTGAAGGAGGACTAGGCTCACTTGTGCGAGCTACATACAATCTGTTGGGATTGCGGACATACTTCACCTCTGGAGAAAAGGTTTCGGATTTACTGGCGGCTTGTCAAAGTTGCATTAGTTCAGCATGCATGCCTTTTATCAATAAGCGGGGTTTCTATCTTCTATTATGATTACCTATGAAAGACCTATATTAGTAATATTAGTAATAATAATAATAGTAATAATAATAATCATAATAAAAACAAGGATAACGTATTTATTGAAAGTAAGTGTTAGATTGAGCCAAGGTAAAGCATGTTGTATACAGTTTCCAGCACTCATCCTGGATTCCAAGAGAAGTTGACCAGGTCAAGTATGGGTCTGCACTTGGGTCGTTTTATTTAATAGTGCCTTCCCAGACAACACTGACTGTCTTCCTAGTACTTGCCACGTAATTAACACCATTATCAGAATTTTGGTTGGACTTGATTATTTGATGTTCCTTAGTTAGTTGCTTCCACGCCTTCCATACCAGAAGACCAGATTGGGTCTCTAAGCCACTGATTACCAGTCATATACACGGTTAACTACTCGTATCGATTGTCCTATGGTGAAAACCAGTATAATGTCGTATTTTATTGTTACATTGATCAGTTGTAACAATCATGACTCATTTTTCGTGATGATGGCAGGAAACGAGGGCATGGACCATCTTAGCTGGAATGACAGCACCACAGGCTGCAGGGGTAATCCACACGGACTTTGAGCGTGGCTTCATTCGTGCCGAGACTGTAAGTTTATCCTCAACTTATATTGGAAACTTACATACTATTATCATGCAAAGTTAGCAGTGTTCTTCTACTGTGCACATTGTTGAAAGATGTAGTTGTTAATGCTTATATTTTATTCTAACGCGGATGAACATACAGATTGCATACGACGATTACGTTCAGGCAGGATCATACCCAGCTGCAAAGGACAAGGGTTTGGTAAGCCTCAATTATTACATGAAATATATAGCTTTCTACTTCAGAGGTATACAGAGGAAGCTATCAGCAGAAGTAGGTTGGTGGATGACTATCACTTGGGTTATTTAGTGGAAAGGTCGAAGTAACACCTGTTCATTTACATGCGTGCAGATGCGTGCAGAGGGCAAGGATTACATTGTGAAAGAGGGCGATGTCATGCTGTTCCGTTTCAATGTTTAAACATCCATAGCAAAGACTTTTTCCTCATCATATTACATAGCGTATCAATTCATTCTCGGGTGATTCTAGAGTAGTGAAGGATATTCCATCTTGTCAAACTAGGCAAAGCTGCTGCTATTGCAATTTTTAGTACCTTGCGCAACTGCTTTCAACCTTGCAGTAGGCAAGAGAAGATAGGTCGTCATAACGGTTTTGTAGCCCCTCGAAGAGCAGTCTTCCAGTCTTAGCGCGATACACCAGAACACTCATATCTAACAGCCAGAACTTAGAGAGCCAGTCTATCACATTCATAGAGAATATTTATCATAAAACGAACTAGGCATGAGTTGAGCATTGCTTAAATCTTTGATTATGAGCATTAAGCAGTTACGATCACTTAAAAATATAGGTATTGAGACTTCATTTTGTTATGCAAGCAGATGTTTGGAGCCTATCATGGGATTTATCAAATGCGTGGATCTTCACAAATTGAAATTATATTGTGCATAAGCCCAGTCTATGTGAACCTGCTTTCCAAGGGCTGCTGGGGCTTACCTTCAGTAAAACATATGGCATCCAACTGAAATGTAACCTTGCTGAGAATTCGTGATTGTTTTATGTAAATCAGAGCATTTCGACTGCCAAGTCGCTTGTTTTGCATTAACCCTGTAACTTATCCTTTGCCCGTGTTCAATTGGGTAAGGACGCTCGATAGGTGAGATTGAGACATGGAAAGACTATGGGAGACTGATGGTGTTACTTGATAGTGCTTTATGTCACCTCGTCACTAGTCTCTTTCAAGTCGCGCCAGTCAACTTTTAAATAATCGCGTATTTTCAGTTTTTCAGCTGTACATGGTACCTGCAAGCTGGACTTTTCTTTAACTCTTCTGCAAGTACCGATGCCATTGGTCTTTCTGATGCAATGTCATCATGTCTACGATGATCTGAAAAACCACACATGGAATTCTCTCAATGTGAACATATGCCACTTGCTGCTTCACTAGCGATAAGCACGTCACTGGAATGAGCGAATCGATTTGGGTGACATGAAAGGTTCCAGTACCACCGCGGCAAGCACATCCCGTCAGTGCATCCGTCCAAGTTCGTAAGCTCTGTCGGCGCATATAATTGTGGTGGTACTAATATTACCTGGGCTCATCTGCTGGGCGATGAAGTATTAGTTTCACACTACGGTGCAAGTTAAAATCTTCAAATAAGTCCTCTGAATCAGCATTAACCAAATAGGAGACTTGTAAGGGTGCTTTTGTTTGATACCACCAATGGGGTTTGCAAACGTCCACTCAGAAGTTTGGATTGATAACGATGAAATATGATTCAAACATTTCGTAATGTCGGGGTAATATTTTGATGGCTGACTCGTTGCAAGCGTGACTTGTGTAATTTTGCTGAACAGAGAAGAAGATTCAACCTGTTGATCATGCACCAGGATCCATGTGAGCTTCCGCCAGATTCCAATCATGCTACTCACGAAGTCGCCAGCAGTGCAATGCTAGGATCATTGAATGCCCTGTAAATAATTTCTTCTCTCTCTCTCTCTCTCTCTCGTAATTTGGTGAAGGTTACTTGAAGATACAGATGAGCAAAGCCCATGATGGACAAAATGTGGGCAAGCTTGAGCGGCGGTAACTCTACGTAGGATCTGCACATGTTACGCATTCTATTTAATGCTCTTAACTGATATGTCCTGTTGCTGAGCAGGCTTTTCAGGCTTTCGCTGCCTTCTCAGTGACTGGCTTCAGAGCATTCGCGAATCATTTTCCTACATTATTTGGTGCGTTGGCGAAGATTGAATATAAACGCGTTGGAAAATTATTCCTTCCTTGGGAGACACATCATGGCAGAATCACTAGTTCAAGCTCAAGTAACGCTTAAATATACTATGATGCATGTTGATTCTGCTTCGGATACTATCCATAACGAGGTCTGCGGTCGAATCATTTGAGTATCTCTAAACAATTGGATATCCTGCTCCGCATACAAAAATTCCCAACAATATTCCGGACAGACGCTAGATCTCCATGATCCTTTCAGTCTATGTGCAATATTTCAGTTTGCTTCTGACCGCCCAGAACATCAGCGTTGTAAACTCCTCACTTGGAGGCGTCGTGTTTCTGCGGTTGAAGCTAAACCCACCTCACAACTTTGCTTACCGATCTGGTTATCCTTTCTCGTTTGAGTTACTCGAAGTAATTCGAGTTGGGGCTCATTGCGTATGAAGTGAAATTGAGCAGCAAATCAACGCTGATGCTACCGACAAGAACTGTCGTCGAAAGTGCGCTTGCGCCATGCAGATGCGACTCCGATTCAATGGCAGATCCACAGTTCGTAGACATTGCTCTAGACCGTGAGTAGCACACTCTATCTCGTCCCATCACCACCTGTACATGCGAAATCGACACTTCCAGTTGTTGATTTTGGACTCTTGCAATCTTCTGGTTTTGGACCCTAGCCCTATATTACCCCAACCTACGCTCTGCTGTTACAATCATCCTGCAGCCACTGCCACCATTCCACCGCTTGTGCTGATCGACTCACTGCTGCAGCTCAAGATGAAGGGATTCCAAGCACTGGTGCTGATCGGAACTCTCATGCTCGTCGCTTGCAGCTGCTCAGCTGCCAGAATTTTAGTGGAAGAGAATCGTGCAGCATCCCAGATGAAGTTCAAGGGTCCATCGCCAACCGAGAAGCCCAAATTGCCGCCGCTGCCCACTTTGCCTCCCAAGCCCAAGCTCACATTGCCGCCGCAGCCCAAGCTGCCGAGCTTCGGGAAGAAGTGCCCTCCACCTCCAGCTTCTCCTGTCTACACTTCTCCTCCTTACTCTCCTTCCCCAGTGTACACTTCACCTCCTTACTCTCCCTCCCCTGTCTACAAGTCTCCTCCCCCTTACTAAGAGCTCATTACCGCAATGAGAAGGAGCTCGCGCGATCCAACTCAGGTAATCGCAGCCATTGCAGAATTTCGTCTGTACACCTTTCACGAGTGAGTGGAGGTTGTGATGAAGCCATCAGTTGTAATCCAGGGCTTCGCATTTAACGCATAATTTTGTGTTGGCTTGCCAGGTTTTCAGTGCTGAGGCTTTGAGGAAATCGGATGGGCGATGACTCTGAATTGCAAGAGTTTATCTGTGGGCGTGAACAATGACAGTTGCTTCGTGGACAAACGATGGATGTGCCCCGAATGTTGATGTGCTAGTATATAGTCTTGTATTTTTGTGAGAGATAGGTGGAGTGTGAGGCTGTGCATTTAACTGCATTGGCTGCTGCATATCAAAATAAGCACAAAGTGGAGTGTAGCTTGGTTCGAGATATTGCATTCGGTGCCGGTTAGCCTCTGTAACGAAAGCCGTTCGCTGCAAGTTGGAGAACGGTACACTGTAATTAGGAGCCGCATTTGATCCATCAATAAATCTGATTTATGCAATATTATTGAACAAACCTTCAACTATGCTTGAATTGAATTTCTCAGAACGTTGGAGTTGATTGAAATTTACGTTTCATCTAAACAGGCACTGGACGTTGCCGGTTGAAATTGCGAAGTGCTGCTATAAATGCAGATGTGATGATGTCTTCATAGAATCAAGTTGTGTGTAGTTGAATTTGTGACATGGAATTTTCACAGTATGTAATCAAGACGTCAACATTACCAAGCCACATTCTCTAGAGGTTGGTCGTGCGTGATCTGGCGGCATGAAGTAATTCCACTGAATTCCAAATACTTGAAAATTCTGGTTTAAAAAGTTGGAATTCAGTGGGACGAGCATGTCCAAAAACTGGGAAGAGAACACCACTCGAGGGAGTTCGGAGTCTTCGGAGTTCGAAATATCTGTGAGATGGTTTCATCCCACATGAAGATCCTAGCGCTCGTCACAACGTGTGCACACAATTTGATCTGGGACAGTGTATTAGAAACCCAACATCACAAGCGGCACTCCAGTAAGGTATCAGTGATCAGTCTAGTTTGGATTGGAGTCCGAACAACTAAGCGCCACAAGCGCAATGCCACATTCCTTAATGGCTCTTAGTTGTGGTGTTGTGCTTTGTGGCGCTTTTGTATTAGATGACCACATTGGTGTGAGTTCCTCCTATTTCGTAACTTCAAATTCACAGAGGGACTCTCAACACGCTAGGCGTTAATCAGGATGCAATTCTGGATGGGAGGACGCTTTTTTAATGTATTAATGGTAATGAACGTAGGTGAAATCGCCATATGGGATAATTCTAGTCGTTTGTTAATTAACTTCCACAATTAAGGAGATTTACACTGCAATGACGTGGTTAGTTGGTAAACTTGAAAAGTCCAAAATAACTGACCCGTATTAATGACAAACTGTACATAAACATGATACTGTTGGCTACGCTCTTCGATAATCTGAAAGAAGTACATCCCTGCTAGCCACTTGCACTGGTGATACCCGGAGAACGCCATGCGTGTGCATGTAATCCCTGAATCCTACTAAGTTCCAAAAATTGCACTCCAATCCTCTCCTCGATCTTAACCACAATTCAATCGTCCAGTTTCTCCAGAAATCTAAGCGCCACAAGCGCAACGCCACAATCCTCTCAATTATACTCCCATGCTGCCCTAAGTGCAAAGACCAATTTTGGAAAAGCTACGAAACATCAAAATGTGTATGTAGTGTTGGCCATGGATGGCTGTCTTCGATCAGAGATTCAGTGCCCTGTTAATATACGTCAACTTCCATCTCGCCCTACGACTCGCCCTATGACTCGCCCTGCTGGAGAAGCGATCAAGGTATGTATTGCATTCCGCACGATGATATGCAGACCTTGTTCGAGTACAGAACTGATGAATGTAGTTTACAAGGTTGGCAAATGGGCTTCTCCTGAACCTTGTATTCTGAAAGTGAATGTTGAGTCTCTGATGAATGTTTCTCCAACTTGTATCCACATTACCGTCAGGTATTAGAAGCTATGGGAGAATGCGTGTCAGAAATGAAAATGGTGAATCTTCGACCTTACATCACTGCCGTAGATGCTGCAGCATTGGATCTGCAGAAAGAACTGCAGGAGAAAGCAACATTACTGATAACCCCCACTCCCGGGACCGACAGGTATGGTTTAGATCGTAACATTGCTAGTTGTATCCGTGGGTGGAACTCATACATTTGGATTTCAGTCCAGACATAAATTAAATTGCTCTGCATGCATGGAATGATGAAGAGGCAGATCAGATTTCAGCTTCATTTTTTAGGATCATCAGTTGGCGTCTTCCGCTTTTACCACGCTCTACTTTTGGCCAGATGGGTGGAGAGTTTCTTGGATGAAGACGACGAAAGAGCTAGGGCCAGCATGTCCAGCAGTAAAGCAAGGCGTTCTGCAGATACATGTAGTTAGTTAATTACAGTGCAGAGGTTCGTTCCCTCCTGAATTTTTAAGTCGATGAAAAACAGGCTATGATTGCATCTCATGCCGCTGATAATTCATGATATGTTTTTTTTGTAATTGAAGCATACCTACATGCCTACATGCCTACATGTCAGTTCCTTCTAGCCATGCATTATAACGTTTTTCTTTCTTTTCAACCGCAATTTTCAGAACATAATATAGAATGTTGAAAAACATAGTAAAAAATGTGAACATTGCCCCCCAAGTGGAAATGAGTTTCTTCAATTGCATGCAATAATCCTCATGTTGAGTTGTGTCTCCTCTGTTTACGTGCACTTTGGATCGAATATTGTTCATTATTGCACCCCCATTTAGAAATGTCTCAGCAACTAGGAACATAATCCTGCTTCAGTCAAGTCAAGGTTAAGACCTTACAAAACTGACAACAACAACAACAACAACAATACTCAAATGATTGAGATCTTTTAGGAAAAGATATCCTTCTAAATATTTTTCAAATGCAAAAACATTATCTTGAATATATTTCACAAAATAATGCACAAAGATATGGAGAGAAGCTCACCAAGAAGATGTAAAGAGGATAAGTACAATAAATTTACAATAATTCTCTTCCTTATCAGGTTTTCCAAAACAGAAACACCTCGTGTAAACGGAGATCAATATCTGAGCAACGAAAAGAGAGACAATGGACCCTGCAGCCAGCCCAGTTGAAGTATCTCTTGGGTAAACACAAATAAGGTAACCCGATTCAGCATAGATCGGTGGGACCTGTACAAAGAAAGCGCAAGTGAGGTGACACAGTAGGAATAGAGATATGTAGCTGCAAAACCTCTGAAAAAATGTAAGTTACCAGCCACATTTTCACAATGTGTAAGAACACTAAAAATCGACGGTGCATGATGAGTCGAGCTGGAATGTAAAGCACGTTCTAATCCCCTCGCTACGATGTAAATACATGCGAAGAGGAGATCGCATTGCAAGATGTCCAAGTTCATCACAGCACACAATACAATGTCAGCAACAGATACCTGAAAGCGAATTGCAAAGGGGAAGAACAACTGACCTTACTCTGCGTGTACATCGCGCCCAATGCTAGCGCAAAGGCGATCACATCGCAGAAGAAAGTTGCGCCTAACACGGGCCATGACAATACTCCCTCCATGACTCAAGGAAAGCACCAATTTAATGATCCTTCAGACCTCAGAAACAATTCTCTCAATTCTCTCCCTCGAACTCTACATCAAAAAAATATAAACCCCAAAACCCGTCGGCTCCGAATCACGGGACAACAAGCCCACCACGAACGAAAACAATTCGTAACGAGCGACAGCAGCAATGCAGGTCCCAAATGCAACCAACGCAACTCATAAATGCCGAGCGCAACGTCACAGCAAGAGCAAAAAGGTAACAATCTGACAGTCTTTCCCAGAAGAGATGCACTCGTCGACCACCCAACTGTAGTTACCCATTGCCTGAAAACTCCCACTCGTAAGAAGCCCCCCCTCCGCAACTGCCAGTATCGCCAATCCATCGTCGTCGGCATCGTCATAATCGTCATCATCATCATCGTTTGTATGGAATTCTCTGATACATCGCGTTGCCGTCGCATCGTCTCATGCAACAAAGATTGATGATGACGGGGGGCTCATTCATCCAGTGCTCTCTCACACACACTCTCTCTCTCCCACTGCTCAGGGAAAATCGTTCGCCGTAGAAACTCCTCCCCTTCCAGCGCTGACGAAGCGAGCCATTCCTTCCGCAAACTGACAGGTGCAGTCCAATCGATCGCCATCGAAGGATGCCGGTGCAGAATTGTGCGCCAGGACGAAGCATTGGTCGCGCCGCATGCTGCAACGACGTCGTCGATGCTTGCACGCGAAAACACATTTCCCCTCTCTCCTGGCCTCTTCGGGTTTCTCGCCCCCGAGGTCCAATTAGGGCTTCGTGTGAATGCATGGATGGATGGATGCATGGATAGATGGATATATGGATGCATGGATAGATGGATGGATGCATGCATGGATGGATGGATGCGTGTGTGGATAATTGGATGCATGTGTGGATGGATGGATGGATGCATGGATGGATGGATGCATGGGTGGATGGATGGATGGATGCATGGATGCATGGGTGGATGGATGGATGGATGGATGCATGGGTGGATGGATGGATGGATGGATGCATGGGTGGATGGATGGATGTGAGCTTTTATGGATGTTTCTCGTTCCTATTTGGATGGCCTTTGACCTGCCCCTTTCACGGGCTGGGTGCTTCAACAGCAGCTCAGTTCTTAATATCATGTATGTGCATACCAGTGTGAAGTTTCTTCACTTATTGTTAGTAAATCCATTTTCTGCAGCTCTCTATTCTCTAGTCTAATACATACAATTATTTGAATAAAATAATGTAAAATTTAATTATACAACAATCAATTTCTTATAAGTTCATATTCAAATATAAAATTTGAAATGCACAAAATTTAATTAATTATTATTTTACTTTTGAGATATTCTTGTGAAATATTTTGATAGAAGAAGAAGAAATTCACAAATATTTAATTTTTATCACTTTTATAATTTTTTTATTATTTTAAAAATCATGTTTATCTGATTTTATTCAAAGCTTAAATAAGATCATAATCAATAAAGTATTATTTATAAGTCTCATAAAACAGTTTAACATGTTTTTTTTAAAACACTTTGTAGGTAATTCACTTGTACAATTTGTAGGTTGCTTTTGTAGGTAATTCACTTGTACAATATTGTTCCAACAGCCTTCTTGATTTTTTTTTATAAATAGAGTTTTTTTTTTTTTTTTTTTTTTTTTATTTTGTCTTTGGTTGACCTTTGAATGTTTTATTACTCATTCAAAGATGTCAATTTTTGTAACAATTTGCGTAGTAGAATTCTAGAAAGAGTAGAAAATGCAACCAAAAGCAACAAAGGGAGAGAGGTGGGATTTGCTTAATATTGAGAGAGGCAAGAGTAGCAGTGCACACAATAGCTACAACATCAATAAATAAATCAATCAACAATCATAAAGCATTAATAAATAAGTCAATATGCAATTAGAGGTGAAAATTGAGAAGAAGGCGAGATTTGACAATGCTTTGATGATGAATAGGCCCCTCCCTTTCCTTGCATTGATAGAAAAGTTCACAAGGAAATGTTAGATGTTTCATTGTTAGATTAGTACAGATAGTCACTATTTTTGGTATGTAACATTTTTATTTTTCTTCCAAGTGGAGAATTTCAGAATAAATGGATAGCTTTCTATTGACAAATAATCATAGATGTGGAAGGAAAACTACTGTTTATTATCTTGTGAATGCCATCTTGCTCATTTTTGCTCCTATAGTAGAAATCTCGACCACATATTTCACAATAAGTTGCACCTATATTTGATTCTCTCTTTTCTTTGATTTTTATGATGTTTTTTTGATTTTAGTCAGGGCACTACCTCCCTTAGGTCTAAGAGCACTTGATTCTTCTTCAATCCGTTCATATGATTTATATGAAGGTATTTGAATAATATGGATTCATTGTAGGTATGAATTCATATTGTTCTCAAAGCACATGGTTTCTTTTCAATAATCTCAAATATCCAAGGAAGGTTTGGAAGCTACATTAGCTTTGTAGCCATGTAAGACAAAAGCTTTAGGTGGCTACTATGAATATTTGAGAAACAAGCCTAAGATTCTTCATCAGTGATCCTAACTCTTTTCCTTATTAGTTTTCCTATTCAGCTAGATGTTTGCTCAGATTAGAGGATTAACTATCATATGGGATGCAAAAATATATTTTTTTGTATCGGTTTGAAGGAATTGTGAAGAAGTTGAAGAAGATCCTCTCTTAATCTCTCCTCTACAAAGAAGAAGAGAAAGAAGACAAAGAAGCAAAAATAAAAGGTATTATGATTGATCCTTCCAATATTTTGAGAAAGATTGATTCATCATTGCTATTACGATTGATCCTTCCAATATTTTTGTACTGGAACTTTTGAATTTAATTCAAATCCTATGGCATTTACTTTTTTTTGATCTAGAATACATATGATATCATTTTATAAAAAACATTCTTGAACAACCTAATTTTATTGAAGTTTTCCAAGTATTGTGAACTGCAACAAAAAATTTCCATGACAACAATATGATTTTATCTAGTGAATTATATGATACATCTAAATTATATATATAAATATATATTAGTCTTTTAGTATTATGTTAACTAAAAATATATGTCTTTTATATTTATAATTATTTTTCTTTAAAAATAGGCACAAATCTTCTATAAATTATTTTAAAAGGAATGAAGGATTAAGACATGGAGGCTAGAAAATAGAAACAGTGAATTGAAGAATAGTGAACATAGCAAGGAATTGGAGACTAGAAAATTGGAGACTAAGGAATAGAGACAAGAAATTGAGAAAGAAGGATGAAGATGGAGGATGGACAAAATCAATGATGAGATGAAAATAAAAGGTGTGGATTAGACAACATTAAAATGTGACTTTATCAATTTCCTAAATATACAAAAAATATTTTTTAATACATTTTTTACATAGAATAAAATTTATTTTTATAATTTTTTATATTATAATTGATTCAATAGTATTGTTTAAAATATTCATAATTTTTATTTTTTTGATATATTTTAATATGACTATTTTATCTATACTTATAATAATATATAATTTTTTTTATAATTATTATATTTATACATAAAATTTTTAAAAAATTATAAAATATAAATGTGTATATTTTAAGTAAATAAATTTAGAAATAAAAAATAAAAATACTTATTAGTTAATTTTTAAAGTATAAAATATTAAATTATTATTATTTTTCAGCCCATGGAGGCTATAATATACTTTAATTGCACATATTATTTACTTTTATTTTAAAAGAAGATCTCTATATTTGGTATCATTTCACGTTCTTGTGGAGTTCATATTATTTTCATCAAAAGTTTTCTATGAACTTGAGTTTATTCCACATTGTTGCAGTGTTTGTATTGTTTTCTTCAAAAAAATATTCTTTACTTGAGATCATTTAACATTGTTGCAAAATTCATACATACTTTCAAAATTTAACAAGTTGAATATATCCTACAGAAATAAGACATAGTGATGTAAGATTAAAATTCAAGTTGTGTTCACTAGGTTTTTATATTAGATTATTTACAATAGATTGTATTAAAAGGAGCTTAAAATATACTCAATTTATTACACTTCAGGTACTTTTATATCTCTATGAGTATTAAATGAGACTATTTTTGATATTTCTTACATATTTGATAATCTAATTATTTAAAAATAAATTAACATATTTAAAAGTTTGTAATCAACTTGTATATGAATTATTTTTGAAGATTATATATTTGATGTCTATTGATTCTATGGTTTATAAGAAGATAAGGCAAGTGCATAGTCAAATAATCTCAAGTGATATTGGAAATAAACTTAGACGTAGACACTTTATCTATAAGATTAAAAGATACCAAAATCTCTAGATCACTGCTAAAGGGAGCAATACAAGTAATGGACCTAGTAAAATAGAGCAAGTAAAGAAGCTATATTCATTAGTTATCTATGAGTATCGTGGTTGAAAGAGGTTGTTGTGCTAAACCCCCTTTTCCTCCCTCTTCCTTTTTTTGAGGCTAAAGATTTATCTATTTGAAGTATGCAAAACTTGGATTCTTAAGACTTTCCTCAAGTCAATTGAATCTGAATTGCATAAAATATTGAGTATAAATTGAAGTCTCATATACAATCATCCTAAACATCTATTAGATTCTTATGAATTATCATATATTCATCTAAACTTAAGGATTATAAGTACAATTTATAATAGGATAAAAAAAAGGTGTAAAATTATTTTTGAATCAAATAGAAGGAAGATGTGAATTGATGTTATTTTTTGCTTATATAAAAAATACTATTCTAATTTGAGGTTATTGATTATGAGTAACAGCTAAACAAGAAATATAATCCAAATGACAAATATAACATTGTTAGGATTCTAGACCACTTTTAGTACCACAAGTATTTGTGTATTATATTTGAACTTTTTACAAAGAATTTGTAAGTACATCCTTGAAACTAATCATTGGCATGCATTTTAAATTTTATTTTATTTATTTTGTGTCTTAATCTTTATTAAATTGACTACAATCTTATAAAGATGATTATAAGTATGTCTTTTGAATAACATGTAGTAAGTCAATGAAAAGTAAACAATGTATGTTGACCTATAGTTCAACGAAGGATGCAAATGCTTATTTGGCAATAATAACAACTTTGACAATGGCATTATGAAGGTACTCAATTTTGATACTCTCTTTGGCATATTCTATTTAATGGAGTTTTGAATGTTTGTTTGTAAAGTTTGAGTGAAACTATTAAAAGTTGGTATTATATATACTTTTGTATTATACTTTGTATGGTATTTTATCATGTACATTAGTAATTATTATATTTATTGATATTATTTTATCTCTTTTAAAAATAAATGGATTCATATATAAAAATAAAAAGATATATTTTGTAAATACTATTCAATTAAGGTTGTTTCAAGTTATCAAGTTTTATTAGCTTATAGTTCATTTTTGTGGTTTTTTTACTAACTAAGTCATGGTTATAAGGACCAATAAAATTTCATTTGAAAAGTTAATTAAAAATAAAAATAGTCAAATTTATATTTTTAGTTTTTTAGATTTATTATAGATTTTTTTATCTATACACATCTTATACATCTTAGATTTATCTATGAAAATTGAGTCACTTTCTATATCATAAGCTTTTGTGTATTTGAGCTTCTCATAAAGAATTTATCAGTAGGTCTTTAAAATTGATGATCAACATGTATTTTAGGATTTTATTCTATTTTATAGTTATATATTAATAAAATATGTATATGATTGGTAGAAAAGCTCATGACAATTCTAACACAAATATACTAGCTATAACACAAATCTTTGCATAAAAATACAAATTTTATGGGTGATTCTAAAATGTATAATATTAAAGTAAGCATATTTTATCTATTAGATTTTCAAAAGTTATTAGATATTCATGTAAGCTTGAGGATTATAAGTATGGTTTGTAATAGAATCAAAAAGAAATGTATAAGTATTCTTGAATTAAATAGGAGAAATGTGTGGATTGATTTTATTTTTTTTCTTTTATAAAGAAAGATTGTTTTAACTTGCAATTATTGATTACAACTGACAACTAAATATTAAATACAACTTAGATAACAAATAATATATTATTTAGAGTTTAGACTACTTTCAACACAATAAGCATCTATGCATTGTATTTAAACTTCTTACAAAGAATTTGTGAATACAAAATCAAAATCAATATTTAGCATGTATTTTAAGATTTTATTTTATGGTTTTAGATAAATAATATATATATATATATATATATATATATATATATATGAGTGGAAGAGGAGCTCATGACAATTCTAGTACAAACATACTAGCTACAATGTAAATCCTCACATAACAATTCAAATTTCATAGGTGACCTTGAGCTTTGTAGATTTATTGCAAGAAATATTCTAAAATCATATGATATTATATATGGATAAAATAGTGAAGGATGAAATTAATTGATAAGGTTGAAAAGAAAATATAAATACACATAATGGATAAAAAAAAAAAAAAATAATAAAATTCTTCTTTAAGTTTTATTATAATTTATTGTTTGAATAAAATGATGTAGTGATTTTCAAAATTGAGTATGAAATTAGCTTCTTCAAATTCAAAAAACAATGTAAATAAATTGGATATCAAAAAAAATAAAACCATAAATTATACATGATTACCATTGTAATTAAGCATGCTTCTATGATGATTGAAGTTTATTACACACAAGTATGCATATATAAGAGAAGTTAATATAAAATTAATTCTAAAACTTATTTTTGCTCACATTAGCTAAAACAAATTAAAACCTATGTCCACATGTCTTTAGTAGCTATAAAAACTCTAATATGCTTCAGCAATTTCTATATAAATTTTAACAGTCATAAAAAGTAATTAAAGCTCAACAATCCTCAATATGCTCCCATAATTCTAACGTTCTTTTGAGAGGTGTTATATATTGGTTTAATCAACATTTTAAAATTATCTACAAGTGTTCAAATAGATTGAAGTTTGGAGATTGTATTGACTACTTCAAAAAGAATAAATTATTATAAATTTAGCTAATAATATATATTTTTGGACATATTCTTGAAGTCATTACATTGTTGAAATATCAAACTTATAGGATTTAAGTTATATACATGTACTATATAAATCAATTTTTGCTCTAAAATCTCTTTATATAATTGTTGATTTATTATTTCTTCAATCCTACATATTATATCAAGGCCATTTGAAGTCATACAATTCTACATCATTATTCTTCTACCTCCAAACTTCATTGTATGAAGGATAAGAAAATAACTAAGTAAGACTTTTCTTAAAGAAATATGACAAAATAAAAGTAAGCAAACATATATATTAAAAAGAAATTAAAATAGCTATTTCCAAAAGATAAGAAAATAAAAGATTATTGAATCTAGATTAGAACATAAAAGAAGTTGATAAGAGTGAAGAAAGCTTCATTCATGCCTCTATATATACTATCCATCTAAGAGCTACGTGGTGATATTTTATAGGACATCTAACACGTGTTGACTTTGTAAGCCACATGTCT